AATATTTTAAAAGGAGTTGAATTCAAATTGCATGTGGGACATACCATAACAAATTAAGATTATCTGTCCATAAAATTGTTAAACTCTAGGAGTTTTGCCTATTGCAATCATTTAGGCAAACTTCAATGTTGTTAGGATTACACTAGATGTTTTTTCACACATTGATTTCTCTTAACAAAATCTAAGAATTGCAAGATGTCACACTGAGTTTGAGCCAGCTAAGATAAAGGAACTTCCAAATAAACATGAACAGTGAAACGTTTTGCAATCAGGAAAATGCATAAGTAAAAACACAGAGAACCAAAAGACTTCACATGTTAACCTTTTATTGGAGTTTTGAATACAAGAGGCATTTGATCCCACTGTTTTTCTACCCATCGGAATTGGAAGGCCAGGTTTCAATGGGGCTTTAATTATCCCATTACATCCCCAGCTCACTTGTCAAGTTCCCAATTCAGTCACACAATGGCAATGGCCAGATATACTTCTTTCTTTTTATTTTCTTTTTTATAAATTTTATTTAAATTAGAAACAATCTTATTTTACACATCAATCCCAACTCCCTCTCCCTCCCATCCTCGTATGTCCCCCACCCACCGCCCATTCCACCCCCTATCCCATCCCCTATCCACTCCCCAGGGAGGGTGAGGCCTTCCATGGGGGATCATCAAGTCTGTAACATTATTTGGGGAAGAGCCTGGGCCCTCCCCCATGTATCTAGGCTGAGAGAGCATACCTCCATGGGGGAATGGGCTCTCAAAGTCCATTCGTGCACTAGGGATAAATACTGTTTCCTCTGCCAGAAGCCCCATAGACTTCCCAGGCCTCCCAACTAACAACCATGTTCAGAGAGCCTGGTTTGGTCCCATGCAGGTTCCCCAGCTGTCAGACTGGGGTCTCTGAGTTCCCACTAGTTCAGGTCAGCTACTTCTATGGGGTTCCCAGGCAATGAAATCTTGAAATCTGCAGCCAAATGGATGGAACTAGAAGAAACCATCCTGAGTGAGGTAACCCAGTCACAGAAGGACAAACATGGTATGTACTCACTCATGTATGGATTTTAGACAGAGCAAAGGATTACCAGCCTACAATCCACACCTCCAGAGAAACTAGGAAACAAGGAGGACCCTAAGAGAGATGTTCATGATCCCACAGAGAAGGAGAAAGGGACAAAAGCTCCTGAACAAATTAGGATCATGGGGGGATGAGAGGGAAGGAGGGAGGGAGGGAGGGAGGGAGGGAGGGAGGGAGGGAAGGAGGGAGAGAGGAGAAAGAGGACATGAGAAGAGGAGGAGGAAGGAGAACATGAGGGATCTGAAAGATTGAGTTGGGGGAAGAACAGAGAAGGAGAGTAAGAAAAGAGATACCTTAATAGAGGGAGGCATTATAGGTTTAAAGAGAAATCTGGCACTAGGGAAAAGTCCAGAGATCCACAAGGATGACCCCAACTAGGAACCTAATCAGTAGTGGAGAGGCTAACTTAAATGCCCTTCACCTATAATGAGATTGATGACTACCTTAAATGCCATCCTAGAGCCTTCACCCAGTAGCTAGTGGAAGCAGAAGTTGAGATCCACAGCTAAGCACTGAGCCAATTGTGGAATCCAGTTGTGGAGAAGGAAGAGTGATGAGCAAAGGGATGGGGACCATGCTGGGGAAACCCATAGATATACTCCTATCTTTAACTCTTATTTTCCCCCTTTCTCTTTTTATTACCACAACACCATCAAAGCCAGAAACATTTATTGTTGATTTGGAAAACTACATCAATTATGTCCCATATAGAGAAATAGTCTATTATCCCTTCAGTATTGACTATGTGGTTTTTATAAACTGTATAGCCAGCAAAAGTAAAATTACAAATAAAAACTAGCAGGTAGAGAGAAGAAGCAAGTAGACCAAGGAATATCATCAAATCAGGTGCATACACTACCCAGAAGAAATGACTAGAGTAGACAAACCCCACTCTTGGCTCCCCCCCACCCTCACTCCACTTCAGGTGAGTGTAGGCACTGCTCAGGCCCCAACTCCTGCCTATCACTCCCCCCCCTCGATCTTCCTGGGTATGCTCCTAGCATTGAGTGAACCCCCCCCAGACAGGAAGGATCTGAGTCCTGCCACACACCACTTTTGGCTCCCCTCCACCCACCTATCTCTGCTTGAGAGTGGAGAATACCAGGTGAAGCCAGACCATCTAGAGTTTCAGACACTGAAGTCTTGGACCATATATGCCACCAGGAGACCAGTGTAGACAGAGAGACCCCACCTGCAACCACTCAAAGAAGCTTACAGAACACCAAATAGACTGGACCACAAAAAGAAGTTTCCTCACCACATAATAATAAAAACACCAAACCTACAGAATAAAGAGAAAATATCAAGAGCAGAAAAAAAAGGCCAAGTAACTTATAAAGGCAGACCTATGAGAATTACACACAACTTCTCAATGGAAACTATAAAGTCAGAAGGTCCTGGATAGATGTTTTACAAACACTAAGGGAACATGGATGCCAGCCCAGACTACTGTATCCAGCAAAGCTTTCAATTACTATAGATGTCTCTTGTCTCATTCATTCCAGGTTCCCGTGGCTCAAACCTGTTGTGCCCTGCTGGCCGGGGCACGTATCACAAATACAGCCCTACAGAAAGTATTAGAAGGAAAAGTCCAACCCAATGAAGATAACTACACTCACAGTAATAGGCAATAGATAATCCCACTTTACCAAACACCAAAAAAATAAAGTGGGAGAAATCCACACATAATAACACCACCACTAATAAATCCAAAACAAACAAGAATCAACAATCGATTGTCATTAATATTCCTCACTGTCAATGGTCTCAATTTGCCTATAAAAAGATACAGGCTAACAGAATGGATACAAAGACAGAATCCATCCATGTGCCGCATAAAAGAAACACATCTCAATGTCAAAGACAGACTTTACCTCACAGTAAAATATTAGGAAAAGGTTTTCCAATCAAATGGACCCACGAATCAAGCTGGTGTAGCAATCCTAATATCTAACAAATTAGACTTCAAAGTAAAGTCAATCAAAAGAGATAAAGAAGGGAATTCATATTCATCATAGGAAAAGTCCATCAAGATGAAGTCTCAATTCTGAACATATATGCCCCAAATACAAAGGCACCCACATTCATAAGAGAAACTTTACTAAAGCTCAAATCACACATAAAACCTCACACATTAGTAGTAGGAGACTTCAACACTCTGCTCTCATCACTAGACAGGACCACCAGACAGAAACTTAATAAACAAGCAAAAGAACTAACAGAAGTTATGACCCAATTAGGATTAACAGATATTAACATATCATTCCATCCAAATGCAAAATAATATGCCTTCTTTTCAGCTCCAAATGGAACATTCTCTAAAATTGACCACATACTTGGCAATGTAGCAAACCTCCACAGATACAAAAAAAATTGAAATAACCCCCTGTATCTTATCAGACCACCATGCTTTCAAGGTAGAATTCAACAATATTACAAATCGCAGAAACCCTACAAACTCATGGAAATTGAAAAATGCATAATTGTACCATTCCTACCATTCCTGGGTCAAGGAAGAAATATATAAAAAAAAGAAATTTAAGACTTCCTGGAATTTAAGGAGAATGAAGACTCAACATACTCAAACTTATGGGACACTTTGATAGCAGTGCTAACAGGAAAGTTCATAGCACTAAGTGCCCACTGAAGAAACTGAAGAATAGTCACACTAGAGAATTAACAGCACAACTGAAAGTTCTAGACCAAAAAGAAGCAATCTCAGCCTGGAGAAGTAGATGCCAGGAAATAATTGAGGGCTGAAATCAATAAAGTAGAAAACATTACAAAGAATCAATGAAACAAAGAGTTGGTTCTTTGAGAAAATCAACAAGATAGACAAACCTTTATCCAAACTAACCAAGAGGCAGAGAGAGAGAGCTTGCTAATTAACAAAATCAGAAATGAAAAAGGGAGTAATAGAGGATGGCAAGAAAGGAGATGACTTGATAAAGGGGGCCAGTATATGTTTGGAGAGAGGTCTGGCAAAGAGGGAATCTACAGGAATGACCCCACCTAAGAATCTAGGCCGTGGTGTAAAGGCTACCTTTGATGCCCTTCCCCTATAATGAGATTGATGACTTGATGACTATCTTGGTTATCATTCCTAGAGCCTTGACCGAGTATCGGATCAAAGAAGGGACAGGCACCCACACCTGAGCACTGAGCTGTTCTCCTGGAATTCAGTTGTGGAGAGGGAGGAGAGGTGAGCAAATGAACCAAGGGAACTGAAGATACCTGCAGAAATAGTTGACCTAACCTAAAGAGAGCATGCAGACCCTAGTCATAAAGTGGTGGAACCAGCATTAGACCAAACCAGGCCCTCTGAATGTTGATGCCAGCTAGGAGGCCAAGGCAGTCTATGGAACCTCTCACAGTGGAGCTAGTGTTTATTCCTAGGTCACAAATGGACTTTGGGAGCCCACTCCCTAAGAAGAGATACTATTGTAGCCCAGATACAGAAAGGAGGGCCTGGACCCTCCCCCAAATGATGTGATAAACTTTGATGATCCCCCTTGGAGGGTCTCCTTGTTCCTGGAGAGTGGGTGGGAGTGGGTTGTGGGAATCAGTGGGAAGCATTGGAGGATGGGAGGGCAAGGGAATAGGGGGATGGATATGTAAAAAAGAGTGTCTCTAAAATAAACATTTTGAAAATCTTTAAAAAAAAGAAATTACTAGAGTAGCCTAAGTGGGGGAGAAAGCAAATGTAATCTCAAATAAGACTCTTAAGACACTGATAGAAATGGCTAGGAAGACCCTGTTTAAATAGTCATGCTGAAACTCCTCAGAATTAGTGGTCTTTGGATGAGAATGGCCCCCTAGGCTCATGTGTTTGAATCCTTGGTCCCCATTGGTGGAAATGTTGGAACAGGATTATGATTTGTGACCTTGTTGGAGGAGATGTCTCTGAGAGTGGACTTTGAAGCTTCCAAAGACAGCTGCTACTCCTAGAGAACTCTCTGATTCCTGCTTCCAGTTCAGGAAGGGAGCTCAATGCTGTGCCTGCTGCCATTCAGACCTCTAACTCCTGGAAACAAAACGTAAGTCCAATAAACTGCTTTCTTTTATAAGTTGTAGGGGTAGTGATGTTTTGAAACAGCAATACAAAATAACTAATACAGTGTCTTGTGGGAAGGTTTCCAGGTTCAGGGCTGAGCTTCCCATCCGTTTGTTATTCCCACAGTAGGTATCTTTATACCTTGAGACGAGCAATAACCTCTGTTGGCAATGTTTGTTCTGGAGGGCTCAACATCTTGAATACCTTTAACTGTTTTCTGTTCTCCTTTCTCCTGATCACAGGGGTGGGAGAAGGGGGGAGTCTGCCTGAGGAAAGGCTCTTGAAGGATGTTTGAGATAAAGCTTGAGTCTGAAATTGGAGGGCTCATGCACTCAGATTTAGCTCACAGTATGTGCAAACAATACGTATCAATTTACAAATGGAAAAAGTTCTCCAAACACATTCTTTTCAACTCCTTACTCACTATACAAAGCTTCTCACTTGACCACCTCCATGTGTTGTCCATAGTTAATTGCACTGCCATTATTAATATGTTGAGTGTCAGTTCCCTTGTTTCTGCGTTGAGGGGATATGTCATATTTCATCTCTGTGTCAACAGTATCTGACCAAGTAGGCAACTGTGAGTGAATAAAGAAAAAAATTTTATCAAATAGCCGGCACAAGGAGGTGAGGCAGAACGCTTTGAGCATAAATATAAATGTGAATTTAAAGTGTTGCTTAACACAAGTGAGTTGCCTTACTATGATGAGAATCAAGAAACAGAAGGCCACTGGGAGTCAGTAGTCGAAAAATTAATTCCTATACTATATATGGGAGAAATGGAGAGAATGGAGCATATGGGAGACGGGAAAGAAAGATGGAAACTGACTCTTTCACTGGCTTTTGGGACCCTACCCATCATACTGGGTCACCTTGCCCAGCCTTAAAACACAGGGAGGTGCTTGGTCTTACTGCAACTCAATATGCCAAGTTTTGCTGATGTCTATGGGAGACCTGTCTTTCCCTAAACAGAAGCAGAGGAGGAGTGGATTTCAGAGGGTGGTAATAGAAGGGGGTGGGGGTAGAGACTGGGAGGAGAGGAGGAAGGCAAAACTGTGGCTGGGGTGTAAAATAAATGATTATTTTTTTTAAAAGGAGGGAGCAGTAAGGGAGAGAAACATCCTTCACCATCAACTGAAAACACAGCATCTATATCAAGGCTCCTTCAGGACTAGTCCATCTGGCAGCGCATCCCACTCCCTGTAAAGTTCTTTCTCAACCATTCCCTCTTGCCGCAGATTACCCTTCCTGGGGAATCTCCAGTCTGCCAGAGAGAATTGCAAACTGGTCCAGGGCACTTCTCACTGTTGACTGTTGTCCCCACTGGTCTCGCTAGACTCCTGTAGAATACCTGAGAGCCTTGTTCCAATAACTTGCTCTGATATCTAAATTGGGTCCAAAATGAGTACTGCATGAACTTACAGAAGGGAAGAATGAAAGAAGACAGTATCCATAAAGAAAGACCCTTGGCCTCCATGTCCAGTATGTTCAATCTGGCCAGCCCTCCCACTATGGCCTTACTATTTGTGGCATCCATGGCTTCAGTCTCCAGCTGTCTCCACTTGTTGGCTGCATTGTGGGGTATACACTGAGCCTTTGCTTCACCACCGTAGTGTCAGGTATCAGTCTCTCGGAGGCTCCCTACAGGGAATCTAACCCTGCTGTGCGTTATTGTGAGTGCACAGGCTTTCTTTAAAAGCTAGGTAAAAGCCTCCATGATTGCAGGACTCTTACATTATCCATGCCTGAAAAGGTAGCATCGCATAAATGATTCCAGGTTCTGCTGAAGATTGAAGTAGTAGTCAGAGCTTCCTAGAGCAAGGTTGCAGCTAAGAAAACACTTCCCTAGCAACTCCTCTGGAACACAGCAAATAACCCTATGATCAGAGCCCAGGCCCAAAGCATCGGGCTTGGATGCTTCGTTCTAGCGTGATGGACGCAGTGGTGGCTCCTCTGACCATCTTGGGGCTATCTTCTCCTGAGAGCTACACTGTGGAAGGCCTCTCTACTGTGGTCATGTGAGCACCCAGTGAGAAGTTACTGAACATGGGAGCACCCCTGGGAGTGGGCTGGACCTTGTCTTTGTGTCTTCACTGGGGGTCTATGTTTCTTCCCCCTGCCACAGTGACTGGTGCCACTCTGTACTCAGTGGCAATAAATGGTAGGGTTAGTTCTTGTCAGTATGTTCCTTCTGTATGACACTCAGAAAGTAATCAAACATACAGAAATAACACCAATGCAGAGTTCAAAAGTATGATCCCATCAATTCGATGTTGAGAGTCTACATGGATACATTAAGTATATTTATGAGAGTTGCAACTGTGCTAGCAACTGAAAGCAACAGGAAGGATGAAATGGCCGCTTGTGGTGTCTCTGCTCACTGATGCTTGCTTGTTTATTAGGAGCAGAGACTTTGCACTTGCAAAACCCTTTTGAGGTTTAGAAGATAGCCTGTCACCTTGTTTAAGGTGTTCAGCAATATGACCCTTCAGACTTGCTTTTTCTTTTAGAGAATAAATTCAATTGATGTCCTCCAGATAAGCACATACATTTTCAATTGTCATGCTTGAGTAATTTAAAAATACTTTGGTGAGGGCTGGAGAGATGATTCAGAGGTTAAGAGCACTAGCTGCTCTTCCGGAGGGCCTGTGTTCAATTCCCAGCAGCACGTGGTGGCTCACGACCATCTGTGATGAGTCTGGTGCCCTCTTCTAGCATCAGGCACACATGCAGGCAGAACACTATATACATAACAAATAAAACATTTTAAAAATGCTTTCATGAATGCAAGAACTAAAATTTCAAGTATTTTTATTGACTTATAGAATAAGTAAAATTTAGCAAATTTGTGTGTCTTCATATTTGGTGGAGCTTGCAGAATATTTAAGATCATAAGTGTCAAGGACGTTTTAGTGTAGACATCAAAGAGAGGTAAAAAGTCACCTGCAGCCATATTGTGAATGCATAAGACAGCACTGATTGTGGTGAACCAATGAGAGATGTCTGAGATCTGGAAACAAGTAACCACCATTGATGGTCTGTGACTGGACACAGTTGTTTCTGAGCTTATCAGTGGCCTCCCAGGGTCGACTACTCATGTCAGGATGGTCCAGATGTTAGTCTTGCAGAGACTCCCTGGAAGAATTATGTAGATGTGAGTTTTACTGAGACGTCTTCTAAAACAAATGTCCTTAAAACTGTGCTCACTATAACGCACTCCAAAGAAGATTTGTTTGTTGTTAAATACACAGTGTATTTGCTGTTGCAGAGGTTGGTTGGGTATTTTTTCAGTGTACAGCTGAAAGCATGCTTGCTTTTATCACCACAGCTTTGACAGCTGTCAGAAAAGCCTCATCGTGGTTTATGCTAAGCTTAGGAGTCTTTTTTCATCAAAAACCACTGGCTTTCTAAGTTCCCTCTCAGGTTAAGCAAGCAAAGCAAACTCAGTTGACCTTGGGAAATAATTTGACTGAAAAGTACAATGGAGGGGTGCTTGGTTAGCCACCCTGTACACCAGTGACATTTGTAAGGTTTTGATACAGGTCTGTTGATGGGGAGGGGGATTCTTCAGTGAAGTCTGTATGGGTATTTACACAATTGCTATTATTGAGAAATATTTACTATAGTAATCCAAAAATAACTAATGCAATCATTTTAAAGTACACAGAATGCTTATTTCCAAAATAAAGGCGTTAATCAGGTGGTGAAAAAAAAACTCACAGCTCTTGTCTTAAAGGTAAAAAGAGGCATCTTGTTCTGTAGGCATTTTGAGTGACCATGACCTGGAACATTGATTTAGACAACTCCAAATGCCATTCCAGCATGGAAGCAGTTTCACAGGATTTTTATTGTTTTACAAAACAAGAAAGTCATAAATCAAGGCAAATTTAAAATACATTGGTGGCTACATCAGAAAGGCAGGTACAGTGAGACATAGGTGCTATTCTATAGATCTAATATGCTATCTGATGATTTCCGTAGCTCTTGGATTGTTGGAAGCTAGAGTTCTGCTAAGTGAGCAGCTTTTAAAAGATTTTTACTTATCATATGATGTTAGTTCTAAGTTAATAGCTTACTTATTATTACCAGATGTTGGTTCAGATACGGAGTGGGGGATTGGAGCAAGGCATGGCTGTACCAGAAGGCTAACACTAACTCAAGGATAAAATATTTAGCCCCCAAGCCTGTAAAATTCCAACCTCTCCAAAGGACTGAGATTCCAACTGGTCCATCAGTCTCTGCAGACACAGACCCCTTCCAGGAAGTTTTTGTTCACAACCAGACACAGTTTCCATTTAGAAATTTTCACTCACACAACCATTTGTAATTCCAGTTCTAGGAAATCCAGTGCCCTCTTCTGGCCTCCAAAGGCACAAGGCATACATGTGGAGACACACATGCAGGTAGAACACTCTACATATAAATTAAAAACATAAGTGACCTTTTAAAAAAATTCATCTTGTACAAGACATTTTAAAAAATTCATATTGTACAAGACATTATACAATGCCCCTGTCTAAAGACAAACCAAGACACAAGTCGCCGGGATGAGAGCACAGGAAGAAAGAGGAGACAGCCTAGAGGGAAAGTCTCAACAACTCGCCAGCAGCAGCCTTGGCCCCAGTTCTCCCTCCGACCCCCAGCCTGTGGAAACAGGCACTGTTGTGGATGATCAGGCTGGACAAAGGTGGGCTTTCTTGATGTAGCTGTAAAAGGAGCAGTCAGTGAGAGGCTCTGCAAAAGGTAGAGAGTACAAACCCAGAAGACAGACTTCTCTTGTTTGGCAAACAAACGTATTCCTCAAGTTGGATCCAAACTGCCACTTCAAATTTTCCCTCAGACTTCAGAAAATGTCCTCACCTGGAAAGTGAAACTGGAGGCTGCAAGGATAGTGGAAGAAGTATCTGATGGCTGTAACCTGGTGTGGCGTGTTCTACTCCCCCAAATTTGTGCACCTCACCTTCCTGTAACACAGTCCCACATTCAAATGTTTGCTGGCATAAAAGGCACAGCAGCAGTGGAATGGCATGGCTTCCTAGTCCTCCCAACACCTGTCTTGGACAGAAATGCTGCCTCTTTAAGGACTGGGAAGACGAGAGCTTGGGGCTAGTCCTTTCCCTGGTATCAGTGGCCTTCACTAGAGACCTGGATATTGACATCAACAGGACTGCCTGGCATTCCTACTTTGAACTCTAGGTGTTTCCCAGATGATGGTGGGTTTGAAACTCATTAGCAGCCACTGAACATCACAGTGAGGGCACAGACACTAGAAAAGTCAAAGCCTTGATAAGGACCACAGTCTGTTGATACAAATCTCTGCCCTGCTCACTTCCCAGATACTGCCCCTTCCCTCTTTTGGTGCTTAGAGGTTGATAATCACACGCTTAAAACCCTGAGCCTTCACTGGTTTAAAATGGCAACCAAAGGATAACATACAAAGAAAACCTTAGAACCGACCAAGGGCTTGTTTCTGGCATGATTTCATGCTGTCCTCCCTTGGGTAAATATCAAAAGCCAGATTCACAGCTTGTGAAATCACTCACGGTAGAGGGTTTGGACTGATGACTGGCAGCCTTGACCTTCAACCTTACACTGAACTGCTGTGCTGTGCATTTGGCTTCTCCATATATTTATGGAGCAAACTCTCCTCTAGGGCTATGAATTTTGCAAAGATCTGGACCCTGAGTTAGCTCTATTACAGCTAGTCATTTGTTCAGGACATCATGGAATCTTGTGCAGATCTGATATCTCTTACGTTGTCCAAATAGCTTGTCCTGGGGTGTGGAATGTGTTGTGAACAAAATTACAACATCAAACTACCTGCAATGATCTTGTGGTCTCCAGTCCTAGATATCATGTTCCTTTCACCTAGAAAATCCTGGGAATGTCTGGTGTCTTCCGGGTGTGATGGGTTTAAAGCTCTAGAGCAGTCCATACCCTGAATGGACTGTTACCCTGAACATTGCTGTATATTGGTAACACAGTCATCTTTGTATACACAAGGAATACATTGTCACCTCCTCTCAAATACTGTCCAAAACAAGTAGTTTCTTGCTACTTGTGACAAGCAGAGTGAGTAAAGCCCTCCTATATCCCACAAGGGACACTGCAACAGAAAAACGTGGGAGTCTGCTCTGAGTTAGAAGTAATGTCCTTGAAAGTGCAGGCTGGCTGCAGTGAACTGTGGCCTCTGAAGAGAAAGTCACAGTGCCTGGCACTAGACTGTCCATCCTGAGATTGGCAGCCTGTGCACCTTCTGCCACCAGGGCAAAGGGAATAGAACCATCTAGAATTCCAAGGGAAGCTGAAGAGTAATGATGTGGAGAATCTATTCTAGTTAGTGATCTGAGTGGGGAATAAAGGTCAGAGAGAGAGAAAAAAAAACAAAATGTAAGAGGACAGACAGAAGGGTAGGCACACCTCCCAGGCCTCATCTTGCCTGCTGTAGTGAAAAATCAAACAAAGCGACTGCACAGACTTTACTTATGTCCTCACCAAGGGAGAACATATGTGAAAGAAAACCTAGAGGAGCCCATAGGCAATGCATGGGAAACCCTATAATGTATGTTCACTTTTTCCATTTCTCTGGTAATATATGGAGCTTATGGTTTACATGTCATGCTCAAGAAATTTACTAACTGATCCTAAGGAATCCCCCATCCCTGTTTGCCAAAATAACCACCCAGGCTGCTTTTATAAGATTGTACATATTTGGTGAAGAGCGACGGCTCAGTGGGTAAAGATGTCTGTTGCCAATCCTCATGACCTGAATTCTATCCCTGAGACATACAAGGTAGAAGAAGAGGACAAACTCTCAGAAGTTTTCCTCTGATCTCCACACATATACATGTATGCATGCATCCATGCTTCACAAGCTCGAGCACCCACACACATAGAGATACATTTACAATTTTTAAAAAAGTATAGGTACTTGTTTCACTGCATCAAGTCAAATGGGAATTAAAAACACAACCACAAAGACTTCTCTAAAGTTACAAATGTGTCTACTAATGAAACCCAAGAATTCCAAATTCAATTCATTTACTTCCTTTCACCTGTGTGGCAGAAGCCTGTTTTACCAGCACATTTAGTCTGGGAAATTCTACTTCTCTGCTGTGTCTTGTTGCTATGACAAAACACCTAACAAGAAGCAACTTAAGGGAGGAAGTGTGTAGTCAGGCATATAGTTCCAGAAGACACATACCATCCTGGTGGACAAGGCATGGCCACAAGAGGAGGAGGCCAGCTAGTCCCAGTACCCCTGTTGTCAGGAAGGAGAGAGTGAGCAGAGAGTGGTGCTGGGCTCCAACACATCTCCTCTTCCTCCATCAAGGCACCCTCCCTGGGGAAATGAGGGAATATATATAAGTTGATTCTTAGCATGTATATAGCTCAGTCCCTCATGGCTTATGTATTTTGCCCTTTGTATGGATAGGAGTAACTGACAATGTAAAAAGAGAGAGAGAGAAAGGAAGAAAGAAAGACACAGGGCATTAATAAGTAAACTTTTCTCTGAATCTGTGAAGTCCTTTCCAGGAGTGACTGACAGACCAGAAAAGACTCACTTGCTGTACAGCACCATCCTGTGGTCTGGAATCACAAAGTAAGCGAAAAGGAGAGAACAGCAGACTGGTAAGTAGAACCAAGAATTCAGTAGTCTGTCTGGTTAAACTTCATCTGCAGCCCCAACTCTGCCTTCCAAGAATAAATCTGTGTAGTGACGACAAAGAGCACCTCTAACACCCTTGGTCACAAGAGAGGCTCTCCACATGAGGAGGGATCACACACAGAAATTTTGAAAAGTAGGAAGTATATTGTGCAAAACTTGTTTTATTTACCTGGAGAACTGGAACTGCCCAACTGTCCCTACGTGTGCTAACAGCATGACCCAGATAAGACTACTGCTATGCCCTTCTATACAGGTCATGGGGGACTGGCTTGTGTTGACCAGGACACTGACCAGCACATGATAAATATTCTGGTAAGGGGTACTCTATACATCTTCAATGATGCAAAAACCAAATGAAAGATACAAAATTTATTGTCTCCTATTCCTGTATGTGTCTTAAAGTGCTGATAATAACATGAAATTAACTAAGAAGATAATAAGAAGAAACTGTTGTGGGATTTCGATCCATTTAATGACTTTTGGGGCAGCAAGCCCTAGAGCATGCTCTTGTCTGCTATGTGACAACTTGTAAGGTGAGGGAGAAGGGACTTTTGCTCTCGTGCTGTCTTGAGTGGTTGGAGCAGAGTAGGTGGCTTGCTCTCTACCCCTGGACAGAACAACTGGACAAAGGCAGCTGGAATAGTGGCTGCATCTAACCTATCTTTGAGAACCTTCACCAGACTCTCATGGGCTCTTGTTACAAGAAACAGAGAGGAACGTCATGGGATTCTTCCCAGAAGTCAGAAAAATATAAGGGTATTAAAAAGTAAAGCAGGTAAAGAACATGCCAAGGCAAGGGAAGTGAAAAAGAAGAAGTAAAAGTGTTTCTCAAGCCATTCTTTTAAAAAAATATCTAGTATGTATGTATAGTATGCATCTGTGTGTGGATGTGTGAACACTTAAGTGCAGGTACAGGCAGAGATCAGAAGTAGATATTGGAGTTACAAGAGGTTGTGAACCCCCTGATGTGGATGCTGAGAATTGAACTTGGGTCCTCTTCTAGAGCAGCAAATGCTCTTACCACTGAGTCATTCCTACTATTGTAGCCTGAAAGGAACAATACTGGGTCTTTGGAAATACCCCCTCAACTACCAGTGGCAACAACAGGTAAGAAACATGCTCTAAGCTGTACTAGCTACAGATTGGAGTGAAAGGAGAATGCAGACAGACAAAATTTGGTGATATATTACCCTTTAAGAGATCGTGAAAGCAAAACCCATCGATAAAGTCTCAAAAAAGCTTTAATTGGAAAGGGGATAATATGGGCCTAGTACTTGTTACTTTGGGGAGGATCTACGTTGGAAGAAGTATAAGATACTTATGAAATTTCTTCCTGGGTGTCTAATTTGGAAGTTTCAGCAAATGCTCAGGTAGACAGTGGGTTTTCAAAAGGTTTTGGCCTTCAACTCTAAGCTCTGTTTATCTCATTCTCTTCCATCTTCTGACCCTTTTCTAAATGTATAAAATTCCATAATTTTAGACTCTTGTCAAGAACAGTGCTGTGGATAAACATAAGTCCAGGAAGGAGAGGCACAGGTCTCTTCCCATCAGGGTGAATCTTAGGTAATCACTTAGAAGTGAAATAAATGCCCTGGGGCTAATGTGTCATTATTAACAGGTAGATAAAAAGAATCCTCTCCCTCTCCCTCCCTCTCCCTCCCTCTCCCTCCCTCTCCCTCCCTATCCCTCCCCCTCTCCCTCTACCTCTCCCTCTATTTCTCCCTATCTCCTAGCTATTCAACATGGAAAGTCTCGAAACAAAGTTTGTTCCAGTTGAGAGAAAATCTAAAGAGTCAAATTCTATGGTTTTAATGAAAGATCTGATATACCAGATTGCTAAGGGCAACAGTCAAGCTGAAGAATCAAAATACAGATTTAATGGGGTCCAGTGGCCCTTGCTTCTAATCCTTATATAAAAATGAAGCCAGCCTGGATAACAGTCAACACACACACACACACACACACACACACACACACACACACACACAGATACCTGATGAAAGTCCAAAGTCGTTTAGCTTAAATGCCAGCAGGAACATGACATTTTATACACAAGTTATAAGGGAGAGGAGAGATACCTGGCATTGGTACACACAAAAATAAAAGAGTTAAAAAGGGACTCAGGCCAGGAAAGCAGGTAGCTTAATTATAGAGCTTCCTCCAAACTTCCTTCCCCACTCACAGCTTTATCCCAGCCCCAACTCCAACAGGTGCCCCCTGGAAACCTGAGGTTACTTCAATCCAGCCAGGCATGCAGGTAGGTTAACTGAAGATCTTTACCACTCCTCCTCGCCTCCAAATCTAATCCTGCAGTCTCACCCCTATTTCTGCAACAGTCCACCTGTGCAGGGTTAACTGAAGATCTTTACCACTCCTCCTCGCCTCCAAATCTAACCCTGCAGTCTCACTCCTATTTCTGCAACAGTCCACCTGTGCAGCCTCCCCATCTCCTCTGCCTTCATCTCCAGTCCATCACACAGATCTACTCCTCCAAACTGTGTTCCCCCAACTCATTGCTTTATCCCAGCCCCCAACTCCATCACAATTGTTCCAAACTCAGATACCCAGACACCAGTGCAAAAACACAATCTGTAACAGTCAGGACAAAATGTCTCCACTAGAGCCCAGCAACCCTGAGTATCTGGACACACCTGAAGCGTAAGAAAAAGACCTTAAAAATACCCTTTATGAATGTGACAGGGGTCTTTAAAGAGGAAATGAATAAACCCCTTAAAAAATCTATGAAAACATGAACAGTGGAAGAAAGTGAGCAAAAAAAGTCCAAGGCCTGAAAATGGAAGTAGAGTCAGCTGTGAAAAGGAAGGAAGGAAGGAAGGAAGGAAGATGAAAATTCAAACTGAGAGAAAGAGAGAAATCTGGAAATGAAAACTTTAGTAACTCAAACAGGAACCTCAGAGGCAAGCCTCACTAGCAGAATATAAGAGATGGAAGAGAGATTTTCAAAATTGAAGACAAGATAGGGAACTATGATACCTTTCATGGAGGGGGTCTGATTTCCAAAATATACAATGAACTCAAGAAGCTAGCCACCAAAACACCAAAGGATCCAATTAAAAAGTGGAGTGCAGAACTAAATAGAGAATTCTCAATAGAGGAATCTAAAATGGCTAAAAGACACTTAAGAAAGTGTTCAACATCCTTAGCCCTCAGGGAAATGCAACTCAAAACAACTCTGAGATACCATCTTACACCTGCCAGAATGGCTAAAATCAAAAACACCAATGGCAGTCTATGCTAGAGAGGATGTGGAGAAAGGGGAACACTCCTCCACTGCTGGTGGGGGTGCAAACTTGGATGACCACTCTGGAAATCAGCATGGCGCTTTGTCAGGAAAATGGAAATGAGTCTCCCTCAAGATGCAGCAATTCCTCTCCTGGGCATATACCCAAAGAATGCACATTCGTACGACAAACACATATGTTCAACTGTGTTAATAGCATCATTGTTTGTAATAGCCAGAACCTGGAAGCAATCTAAATGCCCTTCAACTGAAGAGTGGATAGACAAAATGTGCTAAATTTACACAATGGAGTACTGTTCAACAGGGAATAAAATGGAATCTTGAAATTCACAGCAAATGGATGAAACTAGAAGAAATCATCCTAAGTGAGGTAACCCAGTCACACACACACAAAAAAACATGGTATGTATGCATTTATATATGCTTTTTAGGCATAGAGAAAAGAACTACCAGCCTAGAATCCACACCTCCAGAAGAGCTAGAAAACAAGGAGGACCCCAAGAGAAAAACTCATGGTCCCCTGAAGAAGGGAAGGAGGACAAGAATGCCTGAGCAAATTGGGAGCATGGGGGAGAGAGGAGGGAGATGGAAGGAGGAGAAGGGGAGAAGGGGGAGGAGAACTGAGATAGGGGAGGAATAGAAGAAAGAAAGAAAGGAGATGCCTTGGTAAAGGGAGCCAGCACAGGTTTGGAGAAAGGTTTGGCACAGAGGAAATGTTCAGGGATCCACATGGATAACCCCAACTAAGAATCTAGGCAGTGGTGGAGAAGCTGCCTTTGATGCCCTTCCCCTATAATGAGATGGATGGCTACCTTGGTTACCATACCTAGAGCCTTGACCCAGTAGCTGATCAAAGCAGAAATAGGCACCCATAGCTGAGCACTGAGATATCTTTTTTATTTATTTTATTTAAATTAGAAGCAAACTTGCTTCACATGTCAACCCCAGCTCCCTCTCCCTCCCCTCCACCCCATCCCCCCACTAGCCCCCCATTCCCCCACCCAATCATCACTCCACTCTCCAGGGAGGGTGAGACCCTCCATGGGGGATCTCCAAAGTCTGTCATATCATCCTGGGACAGGGCCTAGGCCCTCCCCCATGTGTCCAGGTGGAGAGAGCATCCCTCCATGTGGAATGGGCTCCCAAAGACCGTTCATATGCCAGGGATAAATACTGATCTACTACCTGAGGCCACAAAGAATGCCAAGGCCTCCTCACTGACACCCACGTTCAGGGGATCTGGATCAGTCCCATGCTTGTGTCTCAGCCATCAGTCTGGGGTCCATGAGCTCCCACTGTTTCTGTGGGTTTCACCAGTCCAGTCTTGACCCCTTTGCTCATCACTCCTCCCTCTCTGCAACTGGGTTCCAGGAGTTCAGTTCAGTGTTTACCGGTGAGTTTCTGCCTCTGCTTCCATCAGCCACTGGATGAAGGCTCTAGGATGGCATATAAAGTATGGTCAATCTCATTATCAGGGAAGGGCATTTAAGGTAGCCTCTCCACTATTACTTAGATTGCCAGTTGGTGAAATCTTTGTAGACCTCTGGAAATCTCACTAGTGCCAGATCTCTCCTAAAAACTATAATGACTCCCTCTATTATGGTATCTCTCATCCTGCTGTCCTCTATTCCTCCCCTGATTCAACCTTCCTGTTCCCCCATGTCCTCCTCTCCCCTTCTCTTCTGACCCTCACTTTTTCCT